TGCGCGCCCTGGGTGTTTGGGCGGTGTTTGTAGATGCTATCGATCGCATACTTGGTCCCTTCCACTCAATGGCGGCCGTTAAAGCCGTGCTCGGGAGCACGGGGAAGTTGCGCGGCAGCATGGATAAGCAGGCGATCAGCGATTTCATCTCCGAGGTGCAAGCGAGGCAGATTCGGGAGCTTCTGGATCACATGCCCTCGTCCCCCCACGAGCTGGACTTCAAGATGTCGGCCTGGCGTGCCATTGAAGAGAGGCCCTTCGGCGCAGCAGTGAAAGTCGTGTCGCTGGCTCACATTCGGAGCGTCACGGGCTCGCAGACGGCCCCCGACATCTTGTCGGGGATGCAGAAAGTCCGTGATGGGCAAGCTCGTTCAGGAGTGCGCTGGGGGTAGGGACTCCAAGGAGGCAGAGGAGAGCAGTCGCGGCCTTGTGACGACCTTGAACGAGGCCGCCTGCAGCGCTGATCACGAGGGTAGCTTCATGCTGCCGGACCTCCTCCGCGATATCCGCATCGGCAAGACCTTGCTCGATGCTTCCAACGGCCAGGGCTCCGAACAATTGGATGCGACGATCGCTTCGGCGAAGGCCTCGTCATCCGGAGCGTTGTTCCACTTCCGGGCCTCCCCGCTGGGCACTGAGGTGCTGACAGCATTGGCCAAGGCGTCGCAGCAGAAGCGCAGCACAGAGGTCTTCGACCGGCGCTGGGCGCAGACTTCGCATGACATGCATCAGCTCGCGTCGCTGAGGTGGGCGCCGATCTCAATCGTCGACTCCGGCGGCGGCAGCTGAGCAATTCAGACGGGTTGCGGATAATCGTTCTTTCCTGCAGACTGCTCCAGCCACTTTCTGGGCGCAAGAGAAGGGGGGGGATATCGCAGGGCACGAGGTTGCCATCACGAATGAGTTGCTGCCAGCCTTTGGCTGTTCTTTCATGACCATGGGCCTCGGGCCCATCAGCGAGCTCACCACCGCGTGCGAGGATTTACCCGAAGATGAGGCTATGATTCCAGCCAGCTTCTCGGAGCATTTGAACGCGTTGAAGGAGTCGTGCAAGGCGGTCCCCGCAGTTCTGGAGCCGCAGGCGATCGGGAAACTGAAGGAGCCCATCACAGGCATGAACAAGGCGCTGAACTGCATGATCGGCATCTTGGATTTCGCGGGTTTCAAGGTCACCCTGCATTCTAGATCTCGCCCCCCTCTGAAGGAGGAGGACGACGAGGAGGAGGGGGGGGGGGCGGGGAGATGGGGAGAGGGAAGTAATGAGTAGTGAAGAGTGAGTACTGAGCTTTGAATAATGAGGTAATGAGTAATGAGGTAATGAGAAATGAGTAATGAGGTAATGAGTAATGAGGTAATGAGTAATGAGGTAATGAGGTAATGTGTAATGTGTGTCCTCTACCCCTCTGCCCTCTACCCCTCTACCCCTCTACCCTCTACCCTCTACCCTCCGCCCTCTCCCCCCACCTCTTCCTGGGGCGGCGGGGGGGTTATCCTAGTCCCCTGTGCCCCCATCGCCCATCCTCTTATTATCCCTCCTTCTCCTCCTCCTCGCCCTCCCCCTCCTCCTCCTTCCTCGCGCCCTGCGGCAGGTCAACGCCAAGGCTGCTCTCGACAATATCGAGATCAGCGAGTGCATCGCCTTCGCGAAGGAGCGCGCGTCATTGTGCAACGAGGCTGGGGACAACTTGGACCTGGGTGGCGGGATTCGGGATCGCCTCCATCTGCCGAGGGCCGCCTCTGACCCAGAAGCCGCCGTCCTGGGTCAATGGACGCGCGTGTTCGGCGATATCCAGGGGGAGCTTTCGAGTAGAGCCAACGACGCACTCCAGGAGGCGTCGACCAACTTTGCGCGCAGCCTTCTTCATTTCGCCCCCGAATTCAAGACTTTGTGCACAAGGGTGAAGGGCGAGGCGGCGACGTTCAAGGTCGAGGAGATATTCTGTCCCATCGATTTCGAGTTCGGCAACTTGCAAGGCATCTTCAACCTGGGCGGCGTCGTGGCACTCGCCCAGAAGCTGTCGCAGCATGCGCGCTCCGAGAATCGCGAGACCGAGCTGCGCAGCGCGCTGCGAGTCTGGACGCATGGGCACCAGCTTCGAGAAGTCCAACTTGCTGCTCGTTTCAGTGATGCGCACTTCACGTTCTTCCGTGCCTTGGATGCGTTCCGCTCGACCGCGGTGCAATCTTGCCCCGCGGCCATGCGCCATAAAGCAGCGTTCAGCACGCCGAAGCAGCCGCCGCAGAAGGCTGCGGGCTCGAGCGGCTCCAGCCAGAGCGCAGAGTGGGAGAAGAGCATCGTGAACGCGTCGTTGGTCAACCTCATCGCGGAGAGCCACAAGGAGGCAGAGAACTTGCCCGACCTGGGCGCGGTCGAGTTGAAGGCGTTCTTCGAGGGCGACGACAACGAGGCTCCTTTGCTGAACGGCGAGGCCAAGACTAAGGCGACGGCGTCGATCTTTGGTCTTACCATCTGCCCTGGCAAGGAGGTGGGCGGCTGCGCTGGACGCCGGGAATGTTTCGATGAAGGATTTGATGCCGAAGGGCGATTGGCAGGGCAAGGCCGTCGATGGCATTGACGAGACGTACTGCAAGGACTCGCTCCTGAAGAACCCGAACCACATCCGCATGGCGCAGTTGTGCGAGTGGTTGGAGGGCAATCTCAGAGACATCAAGGACGCCTTCACTAAGATGCCCGAGTTGTCTGAGGAACCAGCCACCGAGTCCAAGAAGGCGATGGATGCGGCGGAAAAAAAAAACACATCAACAGCGTGAGGTTCGTAGTTGCGTCGGCGGTGGTCCTCCAGGTTCTTTTTGTCGGGAATGGCGCCGCCGCCACCAAGAAGGGCGACCGCTAGAAAATTAAGACGGAGCTGGAGAGCACGCTTCAGAAGTCGAAGATCGAGATGCCCACTGGCCTGAATAACTACCTGGTGGAGTGGACGACCAGCGACACAGCCCCAATCTTGGACCATTGAGCCTCGGGGGCCAATTAGTGGCCCTCGCCAGATTCATGCCTCATGCCCATCTAGAGGGGGCTGGCTTGAGATTCAAACTGGCCATGGGGGGGGGGGGGGGGGGGGATGAGGGGAAGTTGAACGATAGTAGATAGTATGGATGGCGAAAGGGAAGAGGAAGGAGATGAAGGGGGAGGAGAAGTTAACAGTTAACCGAACACAAACGCACCAAGTACCTACGCACCCTCGGCGGACGAAGCTGGGAGGGACGAGGACGAGGATGAGGAGGAGGAGAAAGGATATGAGATAGGAGGTGGGAGGTGGGCTGGGCTGGCATCTAGTTCTGAGATTCCCACCCCGAGGCTCGAGGCTCGGGGCTGTGTAAGTTTCAAGTTGCACTTTCGGTGGGCGATCGTCAGGTCTAGGGGGAGTTGGGCCACGGCCCAGGGAGCCGCGCGTGCGCCTCGAGGGCACGGTGGCACAGGCCACCGTGAGGAGTCAAAGCGTGCCTGGATCAACGCGGCGGTCGCCGAGATGAACACGACTTGAGTTTTGAACAATTATCGGATGATTGTCGTCCTCTCACCTTGCGGTCGCCTCAAGGCTGCTCCCATATAATCTATATCGCGCCTGACCAATATCGCGCCTCAATCATCAATATCGCGACGATCGGCAACCTTCGAAACGTATTTGGGCAAACTCGGGTTCTCTTGGGGGCGTTTTGGACGTCTTGGAAGCGTCTTAGGGTTGTGCTGGAGGCCGTTTGAGGCCGTTTTAGCCATCGTGGAGGGCATCTTGGACTGTCTTGGTGCCATCCTGGAGCCATCTTGATGCCGTCTTGAAGCCATCTTGGAACAACTACTACTGACCTTGATTGACCTTGCAAGTGACCTTGAACCTTGAAAACCCCGACCTTCAACCTTGAAGATCGAAGCCCAAAGCCTTGACCTTAAACGGACGACCTTGACCCTTGGGGGGTGTCCTCCTTGTTGCGCCGCGTGCGCCGCCTCAATAGTGGTCCATCACCATGGCTCGCGACGCGGTTCCCGATTAAACGTGGACAATTTGCTTTTTCACTACGAGGACTTTTGGGATGTTTGCAAGAACTTCGGAAGCGGGGCGAATACACGCCGATTGGAAACATGGTCCCAATGAAAACCATTGGGCTCATTCGCGTGTCCAGCCTTTTGTGTTTATACAGCATGGGCATTGCAGGAACAGGTAATAGAGAGAGATATTGCGATAGAGCGAGGGGGATGGAGGTATAGAGATATATGCGGTGTGGATTGACAGCAAGAGAGAGAGAGAGAGAGAGGAACATCTATACATCTACATCCATATTCATATATATTTGGAGAGCAAGAGCGCGGGAGAGAGAGAGAGAGAGGGGGAGAAAACATAATATATATATATATATATATATATATATATATATATATATATATATACACACACAGCACGACAGGAAATCGGAGGGAGGAACTGGGATAGTGGACGGGAATAGTGGGCATAGTGACGGAGGGGGGACGGGGAGGGAGAAGTATCAACGAGAAGGGGCGGCAGGATGGAGGGGTGCGCGGCTGAAGGGGAAGTGGAAGAGAGCGCGAGAGGTGACGGGAGAGACAATGACGACGGAATTCGGGGGGTTGACAGGGCGGCATGTAGGTAATTGGCCGCAGCGAGGTAGGATCGCAGCGAGGGCAGATCGCAGCGAGGGCAGCAGCAGTCCCGCCGCGGCTTTGCAGGGCGCTGCGAGCGGCGAGCCGGACGGCCGCCTGCCCGAGCGTCCTCTTCCTGTTTCCCCCCCCGCCCTGGTCATCCTCCCGTTTCCTGTTTGTTCTCCCACCGTTCCCTCTCTCCCTCACTTCCGTCCTCATCCTACCCCGCCGTTTCCCCCCTCCCCCTCCTCCCCTCCCCCCCCCCGCCTCCTTTTTCTCACCCTCCCGCCTCCTTCCCCCATCCTCCTTCCTCCACCCTCCTCTTCTCCCGCTTCCTCCACCTTGCCGTCGCCTTCCTCCCCTTCCGCCGCCGCCGCGCGCCCCGCAGCCTGCTGCTCGCGAAGATCCTGTCCGCGTCGCCCGCGGGCTCCAGGACCTCCACTGAGCGGCCCCGCGGAGGGGGGAGGTCAGACTGGGCGCCGGCGCATCTCCCAGACTTCGGGCGGATTGGCTCGCTCAACCTTGTCGTCCTTTCGCGGTTTCGGCCCCCAGGGGATGTGCAAGACGGTCGGACCGGGGCATCGGATCGAGATCGTTTCGGGCAGGCTTCCTCCATGCTCGGCGTGTGTTGTTGGATGTTCTAGTTCGTCCTGGGGCAGATTGCCCTCGAAGGCTCTTCTGTTTGGCCAGCGGAGGGTCTCATGTTCTTGGTGTTTCTGTCCCAGGTCCGGCTGTACAACAAATGCCGATGGCCATGTCAACCCTGCGATGTCGACAGCTTCTCACTTTCAGGCTCGCCTGGCAGCGGCCGCGCTGCCTCGTCAGACTGGCTTGATTACTCACAGCTGTGGTGCGCCCATCCTTCCCGCCAGCATGAGCGCGCAGGGGCGGATGGAATTGTTAATCCTGGTGTTTTTCCCTCCACTTAGGCCTCCTGAAACAGGGACTGCTTTTGGCCCCTAAGGCAATCAAACGTGGGTCCGGGACGACAAATTGTCCCTGTGGTGGAAGCGGCGGGCGGCCTGGGGCTCGCGGATGGACGAATCACATCGTCGGATGTGCGGGCCGTCCGATCAGTTCTCACATCCGCATGATCTTTTTGAGGCACTCCGCTACGTTCCGAAGGCACGGCGGCGGACAGCTGACGCCTTCCATGCAGAAGGCAGGCCCTGAGCTCAAGGTAGCCGCGGTGCCGTCCGCGCGAGCACCGCCGGTGCGAGCTGGCGGCGCGGGCACCCTCCCAACATTGGCGATTTAAAGATGGGGCCCTTAGGGAAGGGGCCCAAAACAGTGAGTTTTAAACAGTGATCCACTTCTTAGTCTTAGTGCCTCATCCCTCAGGGCCCCATCTTTGAGCCGCCGACTCCCTGGAGCAGCTCCAGCTTCATCCTCGCTGACCGCTGCTGACGTTCACTCCCCACCGTGTTGTAGCTTTTGTTTAGACTTTGTGTTTCCCCCATCAGTGCTTGCACTGAAGGGGTCCTAGCGGAGGTTGAAAGATTGGCGAAAGTGCCCAGCCGATTTCGGTAGGCGGCTGGGTTCCCGGGTTCCGAGGGCAAAATTCCAATGTTCCCGGTTGTTGAGTCTTTGGTTGTTGGACCAATTTCCGTGGGTGGCGGGGTTCCCAGGCTTGAATGTTTTGGTTTTTGGGTTCACCGGTTCTCGGTCGATCTCCTTGTCGATCTCGTCGTCCATCTCATTCGATCGATATCATTATCAAGTTCATCATCAATCTCACTGTTCATGACATTCCATCGATCTCACGATCGCTCTCACACTCGGTCTCACTATCCAATCACTATCGATGCCACCATCGATATCACCATCGATGTCACTATCGGTCTCACTATCGATCGTACTACCGATTGCACTACCGATCTCACAATCGATCTCACTATCGATTTCACTACGATCTCGCTAACGGTCTCACGATCGATCTCACTATCGATCTCACTATCCATGTCACGCAATCGCTCTATCTATCGATATCACAATTGATATATCGATCAGCCTCACACTCGATATCACTATCGATATCATTATCTATGTCACTCAATTGGCCGCACTACCGATGTCACTTTCGAATGCACGATCAATCTAACGATCGGTCTCACTATCGATCTCAATCAATCGACTATCGATCTCACTACCGATTTCACTATCGATATTGCTATCGGGTCCACGTTCGATCTCACTATACATGTCACCCACTCGATCCCACTATGGATATCACTATTGATCTCCCTTTCAATACCGCACTCTATTTCAGTATCGATCTCACGGTCCATGTCACTGAATCGATCTCATTGTCGATCTCACTATTGATCCCACTCATTCGATGTCACTGTGGGTCTCACTATCGATTTCACTGTTGATCTCACTATCGATCTTTCAATCGAGCTCACTTAACTGACCTCATTGCCAATATCACTATCGATCTCACTTTCGATCCCTTTCAATGGACCTCACGATCGACATCACTAGCGATCTCTGTATCGGCCTCACTATCGCTAGCATAACATATCATACCATATAACATAGCATAGGACACACCCACTCCACGGGACACCACGGGGAACAGAGAGATAAAGAGGGAGAGAGAGGGAGGGAGAGAGAGAGAGAGAGAGAGAACAAAAGAATAACAGAAACAGAGAGAGAGAGAGAGAGATAAACATATAATATTTTGACTGGGCGATTACGCATTTTCAAATTCGACTAGGGCGGGAGGAAGGCCGATCGCGATACCGACGAACAAAAGTATAATTCCACTGATTTCGATTTTCTCTCATGTAGTTTGCTTCTCTGGTCTACAGAAACCCCTGGATGCATCCATCTCTGGGGAGCTCCTCCTCGTCCAGCGAAAATTCTGGACGCTCCGCCCAACCCCACCTGCCCGCCTCGGCCTCCCGCCCCCTGCGGCTCTTGGCCTGCGGCGGCCTCCCTCCCTGGCCTGGGGCCGCTGACCTCTCGGTCGCCCCCCACCGTGCGGGTAGCCCCCCCGACGATCCTCGACACGCTCGCGGCTGGACGCTTCCATGGGCGCTCCGGGGCCTTCGGTCGCCTGGATCGGTCCCTTCCCGGCGCGCGTTCTACCGCATCTTCCGCTTCGCGGAACGCGGATTCGACATCAGTCTTCGACGGTGCCTGGCGATCCGGACCTTGGTCCGTTGAGCGCCTGCACGTGAGTTGGTCGACGCCTGGCGGCGCGTGGGACACGCCCGCTATCCGCGTGACGGTGCGGCCGTTGGTCCTGGTGCCTGCTCCTCGTGGTGCGTCTACGAGCCGGCGACCACTGACTTCTGGCACGCTTGCGGTGTCGCCCAACCAGAATTCCCCGCTATTTTGGCGTTGCACTCCGGCTGGCTGCTTACCCCCCAGTCGACGGTGCCTTCCTCTGAGCGGCAGCGAGGCCCGCCTCCTGTCTGTTCCTCCTTCCGCTGTCCTCTCGTCGCCTCCCTCTTCCCCCCTCCTGTTTGCGCAATCTAGATCGTAGCCCGCGCGCTGCGAGTCTCGGACGGCGTCCGGCGTTCCTGGTGCGGTTGCGATCAAAAAAGTAACCAGCCCATCCAGAAACGATGCCCACAGGAATTGCTTGGAGCTGTCGTCGTAAAAATTGCTTCGATCAGGGAAGTGGTCAGCACACAGAGGAAGGGTCCCCCAGTGGAGACCTCTTGGAGTGTCTTGGGTGGGGGCCTTTTGGCGGTCTCGGACGCCTCTCAGAGCGTTTTGGGTGCCTCGGAGAGCTGCATGGGGCCTCGTGGGGGTCCCTTGGGAGCCTCTTGGAGGCCTCTTGGGCGCCTGTTGGGGCCTCCTGGGGCCTCCCGGGCGCCTCTTGGGAGCCTTTTGAAGCGCTCTTGGAACCCTCTTGGGCCAGCGTGGCCTCGGATGGCCACCGGAAGCGACAAGGCGAGAAAACAAAAACAGCTTATTTCCCCATGTTTTTGTTGACGGGTGTTGGCCTCTTCGGGGCCTCCTGGGGGAGTTTTTTTGACCATTTGGGGCCGTCTTGGAGCGGTCTTCGGGCCTCTTGGAGCATGGGGGGAACCATCTTGGGGCATACTGGGGTTTCTTGAGCCATCTTGTAGGTCATCTTGGGCTCTCCCAGGCGCTTTAGGAGTCGTTTTAAGCAGTTCCCCCCCGGGAGGCCAAAATGTGGCCAACACCAAAATTCAATCAGTGGTTTTGTTATTACCACCGAGGCCTGTTGAAGCGTTTTGGGTACCTCTGGGGGGCCTCTTGGGGTTCGGGGGGTCTCCTGGGAGCCTCTTGGGGGCCTCCTGGGGGCCTCCTGGGGGCCTCTTGGGGCCTCCTGGCCACCTCTTAGGGCACCCTTGGGAGCCTTGGGAGCGCTCTTGGGGCCATTTCGGGGGAGATCGATCAAAAAAGAGGGGTTCCTTAATTTGTGCCGCCCCCCCCAAGAGGCCAAATTGTGGCCAAGACCATGGTCAAACCAATGATTGTGGTTTCCTCGCCGAGGCCGTTTTGGACGTTCCGACCGATCGCGAAACGCCCCGTCCGGGTCCAGGGGAGGGGGTAGGGGGAGGGGTCAAGACGCCTTCCCCGCCCGCAAGCCGTCTCGCTCATCCCCACCCGCCCCCCAACACATACGCAGCACCCGAGCCTGACCCGAACCGCAGCATATGCAGCAGTCGTCTTTGGATGGGCAGCTACTGGGGGCGAATCCGCATCCGCCGCCGCCCGCCGCCGCCGCCGCTGCCGCGCCGCCGCCGCCGCCACCGCTGCCGCTGTCCACCGCCGCCGCCGCCGCCGCCGCCACCCGTTGCCGAATCGCCACCGCCGCAGCCGCCGCCGCCGCAGTCGCTGCCGCCAACGCTGCCGCCGCCGCCGCCGCTGCCGCCGCCGCCGCCGCCGCCGCCGCTGCCCCCACCGCCGCCGCCACCCCCGCCGCCGCCACCGCCGCAACCGCTGCCCCCGCCGCTGCCGCCGCAACCGCCGCCGCCGCTAAGTGTACTTACTCTGTATTGGTTTTTGACAGGGATGGTGAAAAGATGCCGCATCGGGTTCGCTGCGCATGCTTCGAATTTGGAGACAGAAGGTGTTTTGCATTGTTTCCCCCCCTCAAAAAAAAACGGTGGGGGCAGAGTGTGTGTTTGTATGTTTTTTGTGTAAAGGCATGGTGGGGGGCCCTCATGGATTTGGATGGCTCCCGGTCGCCTGGGGGAGGGGGTGTATATCGATAAGGGACAGTGATACCCCCCTCCCCGGAGGGGAATAAAGGGGGTGAAAGAGGAAACACACTAAACCATCTACGCCCTACAGGGCTGGTGGGATTCTGGCTGCGCAGGCAGCACGTCGCAGTACGGGGCCGCGCGAACGCCAGATCGCGAAATCTTGAACCACCTCTTGGCTACTGGTGTTCGTGCGGGACCAGCCTGCGGAGGGAGGTTGGGCCTGAGCAGTGCCAGGAGGAGATATGGGGGTTCTGGCGCGTACTTCTAAAGGTTGCATAAGTTGAGGCGGAGAAGGAGAGGGAGGCTAGATATTAATACGCTACGAGCGTATGCCGTTGACGGATAATTATTGTGCGGCGCGTTTTCGCAATATTAACAAGATACATACCAAAGTTGCTCGAGGTGCTTGATATTGTGATGCAGCCTGGACTCCGATAAGCTGGCCGACCATCAACGTTATGAGGGGCACAATCAGGTCCAGCGGTCAATACATGCATTGACCCTGGCGTCGCAAACTTTACAATAGGGCGCGTGGGCATCGACATGTTGTGCTGAGGCGTGGGCGTTGGAGGTTGATGTGAGGACATGTCAAGCATCTGGGAACGTTCTGCTGAAAGGCATGTAAACGTAAGAACCAGTATCCTCGCTCCTTGCTGACTTGATCACCTTGGAGGACCCGTCAAGTATTTGTACTTTAGAGCGGCTATCCTAGCTGGGATCTGAACCGGGACGATACATGTCATTAGTATCGGGAAGGAAGGAGCAGGAGAAGGAGATCGAAAATTCCATGTCGAATTCGAGGTTTGTTGTGGTTTATGGATGGTTCTTCAGGTTTTGGGTTCCCCGAGCGGCCCGCTGGAACGGCAGTACGCGGGACAAGATTTGGCAACGTTCCCATATGTTCAAGCAAGTTGTTGTTTCCCTTCGGTGTCACCTTCCCCCCGTCATCCTCATCATGTCTTCCGCATCCTCCCCTGTTCCCCCTCCTCGTCCCTCTCTGTATCCGTTGGTGCACGAGGCAGGAGGTATTGTTGGCCCGAGGTGGCCCCTGCCGTTCCAGGGAGGCCCAGATGCCCTCCAGACACCCTCCAGAGCGCCTCTCTGCCCTCTCCGCCTGGTCGGGCGGAGGAGGGGCACAGCACCTGCTGCAGCAGCGGGTTCCAGTTGCGCCGCCGGGGATTTTCCTCCTCGATGGATCGTCGCTCCCTCCTCCGCTCCTCCTCGATTGATCGTCGATGAATCTTCCTCCTCGATGGATCGATGCATTTTCCTCCTTCTCGGAGCCCAGGGTCCTCCTGCCGCGCTCCCAGATGGTGGGGTACTGGGTGGGTTACCCATGCGGGCAAGATGTATATCATTTCCATTGCATTTTGGAGTTCCGGGCTCCCTTCCCCAGACACCCGAGGCGCAGTGGATGCACTGCGCCTCGGCCATCTGGCGCCCCTCCTTAGAAAGTCCAAGGCGCAGTGGATATGGATGCAAATCTTGCCCGCAACCCAAATGCCGGTCTGGTCGCCATCAAGGGCAGCTCTGGGTATCGCTACTGGATGGACGGCGGGAGCGGGAAGATCGACGGGAATCTTTGGCAGGCCCTGGAGCTACATGACCAGCTCGGGGTCTCCGCTGGGCGTGGGTGAGCCGGTCACTGGCACCATTCTCGGGGGTTCGCAGAGGGCGGGTTCTCCCAAGGTGGGGTTAGGGAAAGACCCCAGCCAGATGCTGACATTTCCTTATTCCAGGGGCTGTTTAGGGCGATTTTCCTCTGAACCCACAGCGGCCCCTATCCGCGAAGGGAGACGCCGGGCAGTAGATTATTTGACGAGCCTCTTTTGATATCCCCGCCTTACGTCCCCCGCTCGCTCTCCAGCTTTCCACCTCGACGCGCGGATCGGAGCGAGAGGCTGCAAGACGGGACCGCGCTCGGCAAGCCCAACCTTTTTTATCCCATGTCCACCCGCCCTCATTTGTCCTAATCTTACCTCCTCCTCTTTGTCCCCCACCCCGTCCTCCCCCTCGCTCCATCCCCCCCGTCCTTCTCCCCCGCCCAATCTTCCCTCCGCCGTCATTCTCCCCCTCCTCCCTCCCACCTGCTGCTTCATCATGTATTCCCACACGTTTCCTCCCTCCGCCCTTCCTTCCTCCTCCCGTCCCTGTCCTGCCTCCCAGTCTCTCCCTCCTTCGTCCAACGAGTAAATACTTCTTACCTCCCACTTGACTGTCCTCCCTGCTCATCCTTGCCTCTGCTTTTTCATCCCTCCCTTCTCCTCCGATCTCTGCTCCGCGAGGACCGTCGGAACCAAGGGGCCCCAGGACTCGGCCGCGCCGCGGCGTGCTACCCTCTGTCCAGACTGGAGGTGGCGCAGTTTGCGCACTCTATGTTTATGTCGGCCTTGTCCCTCTACAGGAGGAATAGCAAACAATAATCAACAATACTTTGGGGAATATGTTTTTACGATGTTTGATTTTTGTTGGGGCATGTCGGGGGTATTTTTCATTTTTCGTCCAAAATCTCCCTGTAGGGGGACAGACTCGACCTAACTCTGTGTTGAGAAGTGACCTACTCCGAGTGATGAAGCGGCTGACCTCGTGCCTTGGCTTCGGGTCTTGGGGGCCTTCACATACTGGTCCGCTTTGAGATGGTCTCGAGGGATCCGGGCGCGAGCGCGTATTGTCGGCCCCGGGCAGTGGAAGGGGTCTTACAAAGAGGCTGCTTCCTAGAAGGCGCGGGCCTTGTCTATAAATGTAGGGCCGCCGCCTTCTAAGAAGCAGGGGTGCATCGAAGACGCCGCCCCCCTCCCCTCACCCCTTGTGCGCGCCACCAATTTTGTTTTTTTTTCATTGTGCTATTTTTTGTGCACGGTGGAGCAATCAGGGAAAGCAAAAGAAGAGGTACGATGGGCGGGACAGAGGAGGGGGAGGACGATGGCGATTGCACGAATAGGGTGCGGGTTGGGAGATGCGGGAGGGTGAGTGACACGTGACAGAGGAGGACGAGCAGCAAGATTAGCAGGAGGATCCAGATCATGAGTGGGAGAGGGACGACAACCAGAAGGAGGTGGAGCAGCAGGAGAAGGAGGATATGGGCAGGATGAGCGGGAGAAACGGCAGAATGAGAGGATGAGTTCGCAGTCGTGTTTCAACGCTTCCCCTTTCCCGAAGCTCACGTCATTTTCGCACAAGCTATTTTGCGTTGATCCTGGTGCTACTCCCAGCATCGTTCTCTCGCGGGGTGGATGCGGGCCTCACCAGAACAGGCAGAAGAGGAGCACCAGAAGGAAGGAGGGAGGAGGGAGGAGGGAGGGAGGAGGGAAGGAGGAGGAGGAGGAGGAGGAGGAGGAGGGAGTTGAGGAGCAGGAGGAGGAGGAGCACGCTTAGACGGTGGACCAGCACCAGCACGGGTAGGTTCGCTTGCCTGGGCACAGGGGCGAAGAGGTGCGCAAGGGCGTGGTGAGGCTCATCCTCGGCCTCGGCAGCCCCGTCCTCCTCCCTCCCCCCAGCCTTGTGTCACTTCCTCCCCAGCCCCCTCCCCCGCTGCCTCCTCGTTCCTCCGTGTTCCTCCTCCTTCCTCCTCATCCTCCTCCTCCTCCTCGTTCCTCCTTATCCTCCTCCTCCTCGTTCCTTCTCCCTCCAGTGACGCCAGGAGCATCGCGCGGGCGGCGCCACGGAGTTCTGCGGCTTTCTGTGGCAGGCCAGGGAGGGGCGGGGGAGGGAGAGGCGGATGGGGGGGGCCGATGGGGGAGGGGAGGAATTCTCCCCCCTCCTCGCTTCCGCGCGACCCCCTCTTGGATCCACTTGGGGGGATTGTGCAGCGCAGGGGAGGGGGTCGATAAGAAGGAAGGGGAGGAGGAGGAGCAGGAGGAGGAGGAGGAGCAGGAAGAGAAGGAGGAGGAGGAGGAGGAGGAGAAAGAGAAGGAGGAGGAGGAACCATACTAATGATAATGATAATAAGAACAAGAAGAGGAGGAGGAGAAAGGACGACGACGACGAGAACGAGTCGGCCCTCCTCATCCTCTTGCCTCTGGAGCCTCCAGAGGGGGGGTTGTCGCGACGGCAGGATTCGCTTCAGAATCGTGGTTCCGAACGCTCTCCAGAACAGCCACAAGGGTCGATCGTGGCGGGAAGTGATGCGATTGGAGCCATCATGCATGTCATGCCGCACTCCAGCGCCGCCCGACGGAAAACGGAAGCGGACGCTGCAGCAGCAGCAGCAGCAGCAGCAGCAGCAATAGCAGATGACGACGGGGCACAGGGGATGTGGGGGATTGGGTGTGGAGAAATGGATGGGGTGAACAGGGATGGGGAAGACAAAGGAGGCGGGAGCTTAGGTTGGGAAGTTTGTGTGAGGGAGGGGGAAGATGATGGGTCGCGGTACGTGGAGATGGGGAAGGGATGACGTGGATGTTGAGAGGCGAGAGGGGGAGGAAAAGGGGGAGGGGCGAGAGAACAGGGAGAAGGACATGGGTTGTGGTGTTTGCTAGGCTGGGGGTTGAGAGTGCAAAGTTGGGAGGGGAGCGCGGGGTGGACTCGCCGCTGCAGCTTGAGTCTTTCGTTATTGCAGGAGGCTCGTCATTCTTTGTTGCACCTCGAGGTAGATCATCAGGTCCCACGGCGCGAAATCAATACGGTTAGATGATCGCCAACGTGGACCTCAAACAGTGCGTTTCTAGCAATCTATGTTGTGCCTTCTACGTGGAACATTCCATTTGGTGAACTTTACGTGGTGCAACTCACACTGTCCGGCTTGAATTTGTCAAATCATTCCACCCACCCGACCGCCGCTCGGCCTGCAAAGCCCTTGCGGCTGCGATTGCGATGACTGCTTGGCGCTGGCTGGCGCATCGCTACGGCCGCGCTAGTGCGCGTAGGCTTTCGCGCACAGCAGCCAGCTAGTCTGGCGTGACCGACGCGGCCGCGGTGGCTCTGACCGTTGGGCATTTCCCAGCGCGTCCCGCAGGCAGCGCTGACGCGCGAGCACTTCCGCGCGAGTCGGTGATTCGGGCCGGCGCGGTATCATGGCGACGTCGACACAGGCAGACACGATGATGGTAGTAGCGATGTTTGTAACGATGGTGACGCTGACGATGGCAAAGTCGATGACGGCGCCGATGTTGATCACGCCAGCGACGATGATGGTGCCCATGTGTCGGCGGAGACGGTTTTGACAAATTTTCGACATACGCGCGCGGCTGACAGGCGCGAGTGGCCCGCATAACATCATCCGGCAGTCGGCAGGGGTACCCCCTTTTCACCGCACGCAAAGAGGACAGCAAACGCGGATTGGCGTGCGAATGATTCGTTCTCTTCGCGCGTGGGGGGCGCGCGTGGTTTCATTCGGCGGAAAAAACGCAGGGGGACTTTCCAGGCATTCGTTGGACATCGAAAAAGCGCGCAGGCCCGTGCAAATTATATTGCACAACCTATGTCATGCAATTTTTGGTATGGAATATGTGTTGTTCGGTCGATGTGGTGCGACCTGTGTGTGGCACCTATGTGCTGCAACGCATGTGGTGCGATCTATGTTGTACAGCCTGCCAGTGCCCGCAGTGAGTTGTCAACCCCACTGCTCGCGCAATCACCCCGCCCAGCCACCCGCAACTTGTTTGCAAAACCCATGCGGCGGAGATTGCGATGACCGCCTGGCGTTGGCTGGAGCATGTCTGCGGCCGCGCTACCCCGCGCATGCTCCCGCGCGCAGCGGCCAGAAAGTGCGGCGCGACCGACGCGGCCGCGGTAGCGCTGACCGCTAGGCACTTCCCAGCGGGCGGGCAATTCCGTGCGAGTCGGTGATTCGGGCCGGAGCGGTAGCATGGCGACGTCGACGACGGTAGACATGAGGATCTGAATCGTGAGCGTGACGATGATGATGACAATCGTGGCGACGACGAAGGCTAGGCCAATGACGGCGCCGATGTTGACCACGCCCGCCGATATGGATGACGATGTCTTCGCGTCGGCGACGAAGGTTTGGAAAGACTTCGGAATTCGACGTGCGCGCGCGGCTGGCGCGCACGAGTGACCCGCGTGATATGATTTGACACGGATCGCGCCCCCCCCACCCCCCAGCACGCGCGCAAGGGCATTCGGATGAACTCGGCATGCGGCGCGAGAGGCCCGTTCGGCAGAATCTGGTGACAATGTAAAAACCAATGGTTGTCCTAAGAATTTGCAGCATCGCGCGCAGGCTGTTTTGAAAACGGATGTTGCAACAACATGTGTTTCACATCTTTGCGGGACCGTCGTTTCTGAAACATGTTTACGAAACCGAAGGTGTTTGAACATTTCGGCGTGCGCGCGGGGCGACGCGCTCGCGTGCACTTCGTCATGGTTGTGCAACGGATTCTCGCGACAGCACGCGCGCAAGGACTTCCGAACAAATTCGGCACGCACGCGCGAGAGGCCCGTTTGGTAGCACGTTGTGGACATGTTGATTTTGTGTTACAAGAAAACAGCAGGAGTACACAACAAACAACAACAATCCGTGTTGAGAAACCAAGTGATGCTGTTTTGGTGTATTCATATGTTTCGGGACACTCGGTTTTGACAGTACTACGGAAGCTTACGTTTTTTGGGGATTGCGGCATGCGCGCGCGACGACGTGCGCGTGTGCATGGTTTACGTTTTGTTGCAGGGGGTTCTTGGCAACTGATATTTTGTGGTGAGCGAGCACGCGCGAAGAACATTTGTTGCAAAGGATGGGGTGGGGAGCCGTTACTGATTTGGCTGGGGGTATACGAAAACATGCTTAGGATGGGTGGTTGGGGTAGAATCATACGCGCATTGCGATGCGAGAAAAACTTCGGTTACATCTTGAGGGCGCTGGTGGGGGACTCCATATTTTCTGGAATGTTTAATTTGTGTAGTGCGATCTAGGTGGTGCAAAATATATGGCGCGTTTACTGTTTATCCGCAGTGCGTTGTACATTCCACGGATCGTTCAACCAGCCCCCCACCAATCCGCAAGGGTTTGCAAACCCATGCGGCGGCAATTGCGATGACTGCTTGGCGGCGGTTGCCGCACAGGCGCGGCCGCGCAAGCGCGTAGGCTCGCGCGCACTGCGGCCACATAGTCTGGGGCGACCGGCGCGGCCGCGATGGCGATGATTGCCGGGTACTCCCCAGCGCATTTCGCAGGCCGAGCTGACGCGAGGCACCTGGGTGCGAGTCGGTGTCTCGGGCGGGCGCGGTATTATGGCGGCGTCGACAACGGCAGGCACGATGAGAAAGTGTTTTTTTTTTTTGTTTTCCTGGCGTCCGGATAGTGCTGATGCTGGTGATGTTGATGATGACAATGTTGATCCGGATATTGTTTTCATGGTAGTGTACATGGTGATGAGCATGAAGATGGACGACGACGAGTATCTATATTGTGATGTTGGTGATGGTGATGGTGGTTGTGATGGTTATGGTGGTGTGCCCACAATGGTGTTGATCATGATGATGAAGTTGGTGTTGATGCGGATGGTGTGAACTCAGGGCAGTAATGATCATGCGGTAGCTGAGGACGGCGATGGTGATGATGATGGTGATGTTGCTAACGTTCGTGATGTTGATGATGATGAGGAGGAGGACATGGACCATGGTGGTGGTGGTGGGGATGTTGATGACGACGATGATGCCGAAAATGATAAGGCGAAAGAGATCGGTCATCATATGCTGCCTCATCCGTCCCCGCATATTGTGGAGCTCATAGAAGGGCCATCATGGGGTTGGTTTTAGCTGTTGTGAGGAGGGAGGAAGAGGATGGATGGGGGGAGGAGGAGGGAGGAGGGAAAAAGGTGAAGGCCACAGGTAGGGGGCCGGAGGGAAACTGGCGCGGCAGCGATAGCGCTGACCGCTGGGCGTTCCCCCGCGTTTTGCGCAGGCCGAGCTGACGCGGGGCACTTGGGTGCGAGTCGGTGGCTCGGGCGGGCGCGGTATTATGGCGGCGTCGACAACGGCAGGCACGATGAGATATTGACGATCCTGGTGGCGACGATGTCGATGACGACGGCACGGGCAATGACGGCGCCGATGTTGATCACGCCGGCGACGATGATGGTGTCCACGCGTCTGCGAGGAAGGTTTTGCAATGAGTTCGGCAGGCGCGCGCGGCAAACGTGCGGGGGAGGCGTGCGATGTAGTATTTGACACGGGTCGTTCCCCGTTCCCGTTTTCGCCCCCCTTGCAAACGCGCACGGGCATTCGAATGATCTCGACATGCGTGCGCGAGCGGCCCGCTTAGGAGTATGTGGTGAACATGTAAACATAACATCTACGTTTTGCTAGAAAATTCGCAAACATGCGCGCGCATATATTTTGTTTAACACATCAGATTACAAGTCCATTGGATTCAATATTTGTTCGGGAACCTCGATCCTAAACACCAAACGAGCCCACGGCTTGGGCGTAGGCCGACCCTGTTGTTCGCGAGGTAAACTGGCTGAACGGAACTGAACAGACTGGTCGCGCCCGCTACGCGACGATTTTATTCTCGGCCTCCAAGGGCGCAGCTTATGCCGCGACCGCTCGGAGACCGTTGACTCCAACGCCACGGGCCAACCTGACTCTTACGTGTTGACGATCTTGAATCGTGCCAAAACGCCATTTTTTGGATTTCAACACAACGAATTAACGTAACTGTTACGCCCGCGTAATCCTGAATTTCTTCAAAACACAATTTTTGGAACGCTCATGATGGGAACCCGCGAAACTCTGGGTGA